ACACACACACACACACACACACACACACACACACACACACACACTGGTGTCATTTTGGGGAGGGGAGGGGACCTCTCAGCACAGTGTGATCGGGGACATGGTTGCACCTGCTAGCCACCCCCTAACCCTGGCCAGGCTCACTGCCACCTCCCTAGAGGCAGGGGAGGACAGGAGTCTGGGCCCCCTAAGTCCAGTGCCCAGAGGACCCCTATGGATGACACAGCCAGGGTCACCTGGCACTGCTCAGGGCAAGGGCCTGGGAGGTAGGGGAGGGTGAAAAGCCTGGGGGTGTAGGAGACACCATGGAAACACCAGGTGGCTTCATGGTCGGGGGGCATTGTCCCTGAGAAAGTCCAGAGCCCCCACCTCCCAGCACCCATCAGGCCTGGCTGCTGCCCACAGGCCTGGCTCCCCCAGGGCCGTCCAGGCGGGGAATGCAGGGGTGGACAGAGGCATGGGAACAGGCTGGAAGGGGCGCCTACTCACCGGGACCACTTCCTTCCCTTCCTCTGGGACAGCGGACAGGACTGCGGTCTGGGGAACTGGTTGGAGCAGCTCAGCCCGGCCAGGCCCCAGCTTCCTGGTATGGGGCAGCGTGGGAAGCCCGCCCTTTGGGGCTGGAAGGAAAGGGAAGCCCCAAACCCCACTTCCTCCCCAGGCTGGAGGCAGGGCTGTGGGCCAGGCTTACCTCTCCCTCAGCTGCTCAGCCAACACGCCTGCAGACCCGTCCCCACGCCACCAGGGACTGTGCAGCGGGCAAGGGGTACCTGAAGTCTGGACAGAGGCCAGGAGTCCCAGAGGGCCAGGAGGTGGGCGTGTAGCAAGCAGGGCTGTGTGTGTGCTCACGCATAGAGCAAGGCCACTGTGTGCTGGAGATGAGGCTGCTGGGAGACTTAGGGGCATCCCTGCAAAATGGGGAGAGGCCATGAAATAGGCAGCCCGTTGAACCTGGTACCTGCCACGTGCGCTCTCTGTGCCAGCTCCTGGGGGCCTTGGCATAGAAATGACCCAGGACCCCTGCCCTGCAGCCCCGGCATCACAGTGCATGTGTGTGCCCTTGCATGTGCGTACATGTGTGGACACAAAGAGAAATTTGCCACCTGCTACCTCCTGAGGTTGTGGCCGTGTCCCCAGAGCATGTGAGGGTCTACGTACCAAGGTTAAGAACCTGCTTGAGGAAGGACATTGGGCCTCCACTCAAGTACTCCCTCAACACAAGAATACTTTCTTCTAGTAAATTGGCATTCTATGATGCTCACCTTCC